TTTTTACAAGAAATTGTGCGAGTTTTAAGGAAAATATCTTGATATCAGACTTCAACATACGCTTCCTGAACGAGAGTGAATCATTATGTCGTATATTTGCGGAAGTACTTGTGCGGAAGTGTGATAATTTCTTTTTTTTTTGCTCAAACTGTCAAGGCATCATTTCCTTAATTTATATTTCGTTAAAATTTTCTCACTCGTATCGGATTTATATGTGTAGGAAAAAAAATATTTTTTTACTTTGAATAAAAAGAAGAAAATATATATAAATAAGTATACGCAATATGTACATTTTACAATATTGCATTGGTATTAGAATACGAGAGAAAATGTGAGTGTTTCCTAACGAGTCACATTTCATTTACGTATGCACATATAGTTTTAGTTTTACGTTGTCAAATGGCGTCATAATTGTAAGCGTCTGTCAGTATTGTCCTTGTGATTGACAGAACTCTGTCTAGCGCGCGCTAGAGCAATCAGTAAAATAAACTAATACATGCCGCCGGTTTATATATTTTATCTATGATCTTATCTTTTCTTCAGAAATGAAAAGTATCAATAATATATATTATTCAGATATACAAATCATGTACATTCTATTGTTATATGTGTATTTAACGTAAAAATGTTTTTGTGCATCAATATAATTCTCTTATACGTAGAATCAAGTAATCTTCGAATTGATTGTATTGCGATTAGAAGGTCAATTAATTAGGTCTCATATATCTTTACTAAAGACAACTAATGCGCGGCATTTATATTATTTTTTTGTAAAATTAGTTTTTATTCTTTTAAGATTTGCGTCGCTCTTTTTATCATTTTTCACTAAACCATTTTGTTTTTTTTCAGATTGAAGTCTTCTGAAACACTACTCCGATTTCGTTTATTTTCACTCGGTGTTCATTCAGGTATTCGGTTTTTATCACGTGCGATTTAAACGGCAAACACATTTCTTGCTTCGAGAGCCTGCTCCTTTGTTTCACAGCACTGATTTCACATTAACGCACAATTTTACGCAATTGTGGCGGCACGTAACGCGCTTGTTAGCGTCTGACGTTCCAGAAACGCGGCGCCATCGGCGCGATATCTCATTCGATTGCAAAATTGTTGCCCTGATACGTAACAACAACGTGCCTCGACGTTTATTTTACCTCTGAAATTTTTCTCTTTTGACAAGTCGACGATGACGCTGCCGGTAACAAATTCGCCGGGCGCGTAAGTAGCGCTCGACCGATCGAACTCGATGCGAAAATTCTTCAACGACGGCATCTCGGAATGTGCGTCGGAATTTCGCTTCTATCGAGTGGAATTGAAGTCGAGCAATCGCCACAACTCGAGGTGGGGGATGCAGATATAGTCGATAAACGGAACGTACGTTCCACAAATAATCTTCTTTTGCCGTCGGTATTGCGTGTTCTGACTACTCGTGTTGCCAGACCGACGCCCACAAACGTCAAAACGTAATGCGTATATCAATACTCCGTATAAACGTCATCAGGGTGTGAGATACGCTTTTCGATAGCGGTGGTGTTTCTTCGTTCTTAATTTTTTTTTTTTTTAACGAAGGTTACGATTATGAATTATAGCAAGATAAAACGGAAATATGTTAACAGTAAAATATTGTTTAATCACGCATTCACACAAGTTTATATCTAAAACGGTCTTGTAACAGATAATAATGTACTCTCACACAAAGCATAAGAAAGAAGAAATATTACTTTTTTATTAATTTCAAAAAAATATATGCAATTGTTAATTTTTTTTTAAGTGCTTGTAAAATATATTACATAATTGCGTTTTTTTGTTTTTTAAAGATTTTTGATACAGAAGAATTTAATACAATTTTCGAAATATAAATTTAATACAGAGTATTTTTTTATTTAATTTTAATATAAATTCTTGACGTAATTCTCAATGTAAACCACAACTCGCAAGATAAATGCTGAGTATAAACGCTAGGTAACATAATTAGTTTCTAATATTAAAAGTACGAGATATTTTTACGTAGTACGTAATGTTACTCGCGTGACGTTTGTTTGATAAAAATATTATTCTTTGAAACACATTAACGTATTTCAAGGAACTTATAATACACTTAGGGCCGGTTGTTTCACCTTTCGATAAATTTCAGCTTACTCGACAGGTTAGTATCTATAGGATAAGGACTTGACTAGCGCATCTTCCACTGTTTTTTATTTCTACATATTTATCTGTTAGATACGACTTACACGGTACCGAGAGTGCCGTCTAATTTATTTTTTGGTTTCTGATAATTTACCAGATATATAACCCGGTAAAAAAGTTTTCATATATACTTATACACAAATTAAAATAATTATATCTAAGTATGCAAATTTATACCGAATATGTCCATACAATTTTATACATGGAAAATTTTTTACTGGGAAATTTTACCGACACGTGGAACAACGCACAAATCAGAGTTTTAATCATTAGATAAATTACCCAATAGTTTACCTGAAAGTGGAACAACCGGCCCTTAATGTGTAAAACATTAGATACGACACAACGTCACTACACACACGTCATTATTCTGTTACGTTATATCCAAGTGAATAGTATCGATTAAGTAAGATTTGTTTACGCTATTTGTGATAGCACGCAATGCAATTTTGAGTAAATACGACTGGTACAGAGGAGTACAACATATTGTTCCGCTCCAGGGAAGAAGATTTCTTCTCTGGCTGCTTCTACTACCGCGCGCCGTTTTTCTTCAATCTCGGGCTGCTGGATGGAGACCGAAGGAGTACGTTGCGCGATAATAGGAGCAGCCAAGAGAGAAATTTCAGAGAGATACTTCTTCTGGAGCAGAATAATATGGTGCGCTCCTCTGTACC